CAGGGAAACACCCATCCTGCTCCAAAGAAGTTACATTAGTTTCTCATCTGTGCTTACGCAGTGGAATTGTTCTTGAGAGATTGGCTACTAAATCAAGTACTTGGCACGCAGAACTTCAGTGCTACCTACATAATGCTTCTAAAGAAGATTCTTCAACATTCTGGATGAGCTATTTGTCTTGTAACACATCTGCAACTGCATATCACAGCCTAGTCTCTTGCACTAACAACATTTGAACTCTTCTCAAAATGGGAAAGGGTACAGAAAAGAAGAGGAAGTACCTTCCAGGACATCTAAATATTGCCTTTTGCCATCACAATTATAAAAGCTTCTGGAGGGGGAGGTGCTGGGCAGAATGGGTAAGTAGATTATACCACTGAATTTGGATTATGCCTGACCTTGGTTGAATCAGTTGTTTTTCGCAGACTAAACAAAAGCTTAGTCCTAATTTATTTGGCACTTTGAGAATTTTTTTTCTTAAAGACTGGTAGCAAAAATGGTCAGTCTTAGGATAAAATGTCCTCATAGATCAGCATAAACTCTACTTAGCAACCATGAATCCTAAGTGTTATTAACATTATTCTCATCTCAGTTCCAAAACACAGCATTGTACCAGGTACTTGGAAGAAAATTAACTCTATTCCAGTGACAAGGGCATGAGGACAGAAACTTCAGTCTAAATTGCCACAGCCTACCTCTCAAGCTAAATGGGCAATTTTACCTGCAAATCAGCACTAGATAGAAGGAGAAATCTTGTAGCTGATTCATATGATTCCAGACCTTAATGTTGATATTTTATCATCTTCCCTTTGCATTAGTATCATGATGCAAAATGAAATTCACATCATTTACTACAAAAAACTTTTAAATCAGGCCTCTTCAGTAGCCCAGAGAGTTATATCTTTGAAGGACTGAATCCACCAAAGTATGCTTGAAGAGTCTAAGACAATGCAAACTATGGCAGAACCTTTCATTCTGAATAGAAGCAAGGGGACAGGAAAATGGGGTTAGTTTCCAACTGTGTCGAACAAGATAATGAGGTGAGAAACATCTCTTTTGTATGAAACAAAATGAGCACAACTGCAGGCAAAAAGCTTTAGTCCATTAAATAATATTGTGTTTGTCTGGAATTGTAATAAAACAAAATTTAAAAGGAAAAGCATGTAGTTATTTGGTTCATTTCTGTGGGAAATTGGAAGTCACAGGAGCAGTCTCTCTACTTGTGTGCAGGTACGTATTTCTCGGAAACAAACAACTGGTTAAATGGAAAAATTGCAGAGCAATTAAGGACAGAGAAGAGAAGAGCACAAATCATGCAAATCAAGGTTCTCTGATGAAAAGTTTGCTTGAATGTGAGACAAGGAGATGTGAAGAAAAGCATACTTAGGAAGGAAGAAGAAGGAAGCACACAAGAATTCAGCCAAGACATAAAGGTTAACAACTCTACTTTGCACAAAGTATTGTGAGACATAAATAATCTGGTGTGTTGTGTCATGTTGCAGGAGAAACAGCTACATTTATATCAGCCTTTTCCTTAGAAGTTTAGTTGGAAGCTGTCTGAGAGCATAGAAAGAGAATTGCATGATAAATATATATTTTAATATAAAATCTACTTTTTTATAACTGACAGAATTCATCAAAGTAGCTGTTATTTCTGTACCTGTTTTCCTTAAATCAGTCCATACAAATGCCACTGTGAGCTCTTTTCCTCCCTCAACTGCTGATCCCCGGGATCTCTGTTAGAAACTACTGGGGGATTGTGATTGTAGTCAGTCCAACAAAATCCCATGTTCCCTATGAAAAGACTTAATTATTCACCTGTCTTGAGATGAAGTGAAACATCTAGATTGTATTTAGAGGGGGAGGTTTTCTTAATTTAAAAAAATGTGCTAGCACACTGCCACTTAAAGATGCTTTCATTTGAAAGTAAATTACCATGGTGACATTTTTCTTTCTACCAGGAAAAAAAAAAAAAAAAAAGAGAGAGAGAGAGAGAGAAAATAAAAATGAAAAATGAAAAAGAAAATAAAAAAAGCTTTGAATAAACTTTCCCCATAATAACTTCATTCAGGAAAGTATTATTTCTTGGCTTAGGTAACTACCATTGAATGCTGTGACAAAACAGTGATTCACAAATCTATGCTGGACACTGATATTATATCACTCCACTACCGTGCCTGTGATTCAGTCACCAGACAAAATATGTAGGCAGGAGGATCTCAAGAGACTGTAGAATGACCCATGGAGGAGACTTTGTTTGTTATACTTACTTGGGAGCTAGGGAACAAAAAAATATTACATCCATTTCTCCTTGGCAGCAATCATGAAAATTGTGTTTTTCATAAGTTATGGAAAGGTTGTTTCATGGTTTTCCCCTCATTCCCACTACCATCTGGAAAACTTGGAGACAGAACACATCTTCATTCAGCTTTGCAAAAAAGGTCTGATTCCAGCTTTGGCCAGAGATGTCAGAGGACTGAAGCCAATGGAACACAGGAGAAAAATCCTGCTTGGACTAGTGGCTCTTAGAGCCAATCTCCTCAAGCAAAATCAGCTTTTCTAATTTTGTTCTCATTTTTATGTTAGTTTAGTGATTTATACTAAAGAAACATGTCAATGGAACCTTTCAGCAATCTCCTTAACAATGACTTTCTAGAACCATTGAAGAGCATCACAGCTCACAGACTTGCACTGAACAGGAGCTTCTTCAGTGCCTTGGGTAAGGAGTTATTTGTAAAGCCTACAGATTAACATCTCCTTTGCTTCCCTGTCAAGTTCCCAAGGACCAGCTATTTTCTAACTCTTTGTTTATGGCCTCTTTTTCTTCAGGTGTATGAAGACAACTCATAACAAAGTGGCCAACAGACAGATTCTGTTACTCAGCCATTTTGGTAATGGAAGGCTGATCTGATTTCTGGGAAACTGACTGTGAACCTTGGTTCCTAAATTTCTGCTAATGTAACTACCTGTCTGTTCTGCAGAGTGATACCTGTTTGATCTGATCTCTGGAAACTGTTCTGAAACTTCTGATATTATCAGAATGTACTTAAGTTCACTTTTGTGCAGTAGTTTTAAAGATTATTTTATATAAATAATCTCCATTGAAAAGAAGTGAAAAGATAGCTCATCTAGAAAAGCATAATATAGTTCAAGTCCTTAATGATTATTAAAGATTTAAAGGAACAAAATCTGTACTAAACAATCACAGAGTGCACAACAATATACTTATTTTTAGGGGTTGGAATCCTTCAGCTTTTTTCCTAACAGTAGTTTATTCTACTATGATTTATATTTTCAACTTATCTGCACTTTTAATTCTTTTAAGGGGCACAACATAGATGTTACAGCTAGATGTTACATCTGGCTGTGTGCTACATCTGTTTTTAGAAACTAAGCCTTATTGAGAAGGATGTTGTCTTTTTGTTTGTACCTTCATCATTCACTGTGTATAAATATAAGAAACAGAATAAAATTGTTAATTTAAGACATGAGAATTAATAGCAAAAACACAAAACTTACATATATCTTTAAAAGAGGCAATGGTACAGTTGTATTTAAAAATGTTCACTGGCTTTGGAAGCAAACAGAATTGCTTCCAGAACATGAGACTTGTTTTAATTTATCATGAAGGATGAAGGCATTTAAATAGTGAGTCATAACAGAGGCAACATTAGTATGACCAGAGGGCAAAACAAACTTGCTTTCTGATAGCCACACAATCCTGTGTCTGCATCTTGCTACAAAACATCAATTTTTTTTTGTATTCTTTTAAGAACTGTTGAGGAAATCCTGTAGTCAAAACAATAGTGGCTGAATGTGTATTTGAGATGCTCAGTGTAAATAAAGACTTATTTGTTTGTCATACATTTGATTTTTTCACAGCCTTACAAGAGTAAATAACCTTAGGTTATTTACATATACTACTGGCAATCACTGTGGAAGAATTGCATGCTCAAGACAGTGAATCATGACCTGCTTCCAACTTTCTATAGGTTTCATTGGTGGCACTTGAGTTCCAAATTTTTCTCTAAAATCAGGTCTATATTTTCCTGCTTTTAGTAAAAGCATAGACTGATGCAATTACTCTGGCACTTTGCATGAAATCATACAAAGCTATTGGATAATCAATAATTAACTCAAATTTGAGATGATTGGTTCTGTGACTTCTGTAGAAAAAAAAAACTGGAAAGCCAGCAGAAAATATTAGAAAGACTGAGAATAGGACTAATTAACGTAAGAATCATCAACCAATGGAAGAATTAATATGAATAAGATAACTATGTGACTTGTAGCCAATGAACATTAATGCCTTTGTTTGCTAAAATTTTATAAATAGTGAGGAGTTTCAATAGTCATTGTGCTGGCTTTGTGGCGGTGCCATCCAGCCTCCATTTCTGGACAGAACTGTAAATATGTCTAATACCTCAGTTCTGTGTGTGGATCTGCCTCTTGCACAGCCTATTTTGGGACACCACCAAGTGCTAATGACTTTGGGGTTATAAAATGTCACCTGGCCACACTACCTACTGGAAATGCAACTGCTACTGAATCATCTAGGAGATGTGTGGGGAGCTCTGAAAAGTGCTGCAGAGGCTGGACACTTTAAAGGATTTCTGCCCACAGTAAAGAGTGTAGTAAATACTCTCAATAATCAGGGATTTTGGACTCACATGTTGTGAAATATCAGCCAGACACAGGGATTAGGACCGAGCAGAAAAGTTGTCTAGAACTTGCTGTGCCACAAATCAACTGAAAAATATGAATGTGAAAAAAACCCCAGACCTATTTATGGTGTAAAAGTTAAATCTGGTACAACTGAACAACAAGGAGTGGAAAAACCAATGTTAAAATTATAGAGCATAAGGATTTAATCTAAATACTGAAGATGTTTCCAAGCCTTAAATTTGCTTTATTACCTACTTTTCATGTTGGGTTGCAAACTAACATTAAAAGCTTTGCTGAAATTTCAAAAAATATCATGTTGTTTAAGTGATCCTTACCTGAGTCTGCAGCCTGCTCAATGCTCCAGCAGTGTTTTGTGTTGGCTGTACCATCCCCAGCATCCTGCCTGCTGGACCATTACTCAGAAGAGAAGCACAGCATATGGATCAGGAAACTACATTTTGGGGCCTACATGTGGTGGAAAAAAATGTAAATATAAAGCCACAATAGATTTCTGAGTGGATTTCAGCCTATCCATTAAGATCATTCAAAGCAGGAAGCCTCTGAAATTTTGTAACTTCTACAAGTTCCCTGTATGTATTCTAAATTAATGGAAAACACAAGATAGACTTCCTGAAAAGGTTATTTTATTTAGATAGTAGAATCCAATCTTTTAATTCTGTAGTATAAAGGGGGTTCCTCTGGAAAATGTGTATTGTCAGCAACAGACAATTTTTGTGATTACTCATGACAGTCATGGTGACTATCTAACAAGCTAATTGCCCATTTTTTTTACCTTTCTACAGATGACACGATAAAATATAATTGGAAGGTTTCACTTTTCTTTTATAAGTTTTTTTTCCCTTGATTCGTGTTCAAATCTTGCAAGTTTTGTGGTTGGAGAAACAAGCTAATTTTTGTTCAAGCAATAGATTTTGTACTCATAGCAAGACTTCCAAGAGATACAGTGGAAGATGAAAGCATGTTGACAGAACAGCTTATTTGGACATTAATATTAGTGTTTTTATAAAATTAGTCCTAATATAATGTGCAAGAAAATAAATGTGTGAAAGAAGCTCCCTACAGAAGTTGAAGAAACTCCCTCCTCAGAGGTACTGAAAAATCAACCAAAGCTGGAGCAACCTGCTGTGATGCTTTAAGTGGGAGGCTTGAAGAAGGGTCCTGTATGTGCCTCCTCCAAATATGAACTATACAATGAAATTAGGCCTTGAATTAAAAGAAAAGTGGTGGAGGATGGAAAACACACACAGATGCGTGATTGCATAAGCACTGTCTTCTCAGAAAATTAAGCAGAGAGAATTTCAGAGATATGAGCTAAGAACTGTCTTGTTTCTGTAATGTGTAAAGGCACTATGGCCAGTTTTGTAGCCCTTCAGCAGCTGGATCTCAAACAATAAGACTCAGTTTCAGTTCCCTGTATTTTGATAAAAATGAACTTACTGGAGCTGGAATTTTCTACAATGTATTATTTACTCAGGCTAGTGACTTTCTTTTAAGTCCCCTTAAGAGTAATTCAATCATTTCCAAAAACAAATTAGCAGAAAATATGCATTTCTTTAGTATAAATAAAATGTTATAAGTATTTAATCAAAGCTGTGCTTTGTGGTAGTGTTTTTAAGTTTGGCGGCCTAGAAAACTGGCATAAACTTGGCCAGTTTCTGAGTGGCTTATTTTATTCACATAATTGCAGAAGTGATTTTTTGGCATTGTGTAGGTGGTCTCCAGCAGTCTCTTCACTGACATATTCCATCTCAGAGCTTCCAAGGCAAGCAGAACTTTTTGTATGTGTGTACATAGGCTTTCTACAGGAACAGCATTGTGAAGGCTTAGGAGCAAATCATTGATGCTGCTGGTGCATAGAAGTGGAATTTGAGTTATATGACTGGATGGAGAATACAGCAAACAATTAAGACATGGTGGAAATCAAAGTAAGGAGAAAGTTTGAGGGTAGCAGAAGTAGAAGGATTTATGATCACTAAAGCATATCCTACTCAACTTCAAACTCAATTCCATGCTCACTGTCTTCCCATGAATTTGTAATTATAAAAAGGTATTAAATCTTTAATCACAGTATGATGTAATGATTTCCTTTTTCTCATAGAGCAATTGTGAACCAAATGGATTGTTTTCACTTAGTAGACAAAGCTCCTGGAAAAAAGCCAAACCAAACCCCTGTATAATTGGCTTTGACAAAAAAAAAATGTGTAGAAAAGGAGACACAAGGTCACAGAAAGAAAACCTGGGTTCAGTGACAAAGGCAGCTGGATGCAGCCCTGAGTCCTTGCCCTTGCCTTCATCTCACCATCTTTCTGTGAATTGGGCAAACTCCTTAACACAGATTTTTCACAAGCAGCAATAATTTTGAGTTCTGTCTCACAAGAAATCCTCCCTATTATTTGCTTTGCATATCTGCCCCTAGGATGGGATGCTTCATGCTCCCCAGGCAAATATTTCTGGTTGCAATAGCTAGCTCAGATGCTAGCTCAGCTTTCTCCACAGTAGATGTTACAGTTTGAAGAAAAAAAGTGTCAATGCAGAGCTTAGTTCAAACTGCCAGCAATTCCTCACAGCTGCACTGGAACACACTAGGGGCTAAAGTGAACACAGACAATCCTAGAGAATACTAAACAATCACTTAAAAATAAAAATTTATCCCCAAGTATCACATACTGGGCCCAAAATATTTAGGTTCTTCCAATATTTTTGCATTTGTAGAGTGAAATTCCTCTTTTCTTATCCTTTCCTATCCTTTTGAGAAAAATTAACTAATCCAAGATCAAGAAGAAAATGGGTGATATACTGGGAAGTGGCATATATATATATATATATTCTAGCTAGTGTAAAATTACATTTCTTGTACCCATGTAAGTAATTACTATAAGATAGTGTAACTAAGGCTATAGACCTTTTTTTTTTTCTTTTATTCAATAAAAATGATTAAAAACTAAATCAAATGAGTGAAAGAAAGCTGTAAGCAGTGAGGCAGCATATGTGAACCCCAGTGAGATGGCTTTGGCCGTCACCAGCATCCAGTGTTGGTCGCTGCAGGACAGAACTACCCTCGCTATCTAGGCTGAGAACAGGCACCAGTGCAATCCCAGGTGAGCTCCCAATGCCACCCTCCTCTCACCCTCTCTGCTGCCCAGCCTCTCCACTGCATGTGACAGCCCTGGGTACAACTAATCCTAGTATCTGCATTAATCAAATCTCAGGAATGTGAAGCAGCAGTTGACCTATTATCCTTTCCAAGGAGCAGCATAAAGAAAAACTCTAGGAGCTACACTGGTGCCAAAGTACACTATCGGGGAAACAAAGTGTTGTGGTTGTTTTTCTGTCAAAGGTTACAGTACTTGAGCCTTTGAGAGCGACTGTGACTCACATTCCTGTGTTCTTATAAGCACACTACACCCTTTGGTTCTAACAAATCTGTTAGACTCTTCTGTTTTTATTATTTTCATGGCATTCAGCCTGAGGCAACTTGACTGTATGACTTATACTAACAGATATCATTCATTATTTTTGAGCAAGTGTACTCATGTTGATAGCTTTTCCTCTTAAAAGTAGGTTGGTGGCAGTAACCAGCTGCAGCTTTCAGAATTCAGGCACATAGATTCCCATAGAGAATTCCTAAATTCTGGAAGGGCAGGTAAGGGCTTCTTCCCTTACAAGAAAACAGACAGCAGCTTTGTCACTTGCCAGAATATATGCAGGCCCCACTGGTAAAAGTGCCATAACTCTTAATTAGCCAATGCAGCATCAAAAGAGGCTGCAGAGTTCATGCCCAATTTTCTATCCTGTTGCTTATCAACCAAAAAGAACCAACGTTAGTAGTATGTTAACAACATATTAACAGTTAAAATTAGTTTTCAGATATGTGAAGTAAACCTTGTCACTGTTGTTATTCCTTTACCAAAAATGGGTCTTCTACTTTATATGTTTTTCACAAGATTTCTAGCATAACTGCATTGTCCAATTTGTATCTTCACAAACACAGTCCATGGCAGACAGTGACATGACACAGTCAATGAGATCAGGTTCCTTCTCCAGCAGAGACAATAAACTTTCCTGTACTGTCCTTAAACTCTAGAGAAGAAAATTACCAACACTTGACATTCACAGCCTTCTGGAAGACACTGCAGCCAGGGAAAAGTGCAGTTGGAATAATTTCTGACTAGCAGTTTGGAATATGATGGTCCATCTACTCAAAAATAAATTGTAGCCAGTAAATTTTCTTCTCTTTTTACTTACAAAAAGACATCCTGATATATTTGATAAATTTCAGTCATGAGTGGGCTGGAGTAACTACTTTGGTATAAGACTTTTTTTAAGTACCACAGAGTGCAACCCTCTTAGTCTACATCAATTTTTATGAAACAGTCTTTTAAAAGCAGTTCCTCAGTGGGCAAAACAACTCCATCCACCATTTTTTGGTGAAGAATATTTAAGAATTGACATTAGAGTTAATTGGGAAACTATTAAATTGTTCAGTTGCAATGTATAGCAGCTGTATCAACAACGTCTGAATTATCACCCTATACTGCCACTAAGGACCTACCTCATCTGTTATAGCATGAAATACTCTATGGTAATTTGTAATGATGCAAGTATCTGGTAACCTGCTTACAATAACTTATCAGCATGGACAACAGCTTAATTATATAGTACATCTGATGGCTTCCAAATATTTCTGCTATTCCTCACTAATTTCTAAGAGAAATAATAAGCAAATAAGCAGGAATCCATTTCCTTCTTTTACAGTAGTACATTGATTTATGAATGGAAGACAAAGCTTTTATTAGCTGCCAAGGTGCCTGAATTCTTTGTGCTCTCATCATGATATAAAAATTTATCCCTAGCCACCCATAAATCCTGATGAATGATGGAGAGCAGGCCCCAGGTCAGTTAAAGGATGTGGAGAAAATCCTAGACAAGACTTCTCAGAGAGAAGAATATTATCTCAAAGGTGACACTCAGCCCTGGTCAAGTGGGATCTCTGTTTACACTGATGAAGTGATGATCAATGATATGAAACCAGAAGTCCTTTCCTCTGTGAATGAATAATCTGTCTGTGTAGGTATCAGGCACCTCACACATGGTTCTGTCCTATTAAACATTAGGTCAAAAAGGAGTTCTGAGCGTACATTCCCATGTATGCTAATGCATAAATGGGAATAGTGCCTTCCACTAGAGTTTGCTCTTTGCAGAGACAAACTCTATCACCTTGTTTGTTAATAAGTCATCATTCATTCTTGGAATGAATTTCTGTCCTATCAAAACCTGTAAAATGGGAATCAGACATCTCAGCTGAGTGAGAAAATGTCTTTAAATTTGGGAGCTGCTATAGAAAATGAGATTTTGCCTCATAAACATTTCTCTGAGAAATTAGTAGCTGATAATAAGTAACTAAGAGTAGGGATTTCCTTTCTCCATTTATAAGCAGTTACTTTAAAAATACTTTTGAAAATTAAAAAAAATTTTAGCATGCATTGAGAGCAAATGGACATGCTTGGGATGTTTTTGTTTTGCTTAGCACTATAATTTGGTGTAGAGAATTGGGAACGTATTATAATAATGAGAATTGGCAGTTAATTACAGTCCTGTAGTTAAAATAGCCTATAAAGTCACTATCTTTCGTTATGACTGTTTAAGTGCACAGAAAAGCCTCAAAAAAAAAAAAAAAAAAAAAAAAAAAAAACCAAAAAAAAACCCCAAAAAACAGGAATGCATGAGTATTCACTCTCCTGGGTTTTAGCTCCTAATAATGGTGCAGTGTTGAAATAGAGAGCATAGCAACAAGACTGAGTCATGTAAAAAAGCACAAGGAATAAAATCTGTACTTTTGCACAGACTAACAAGTTTGTTTCAAAAACTGGATGCGAGCTGCTGTGCTTCCCTGATCCCTGCAATCAGCAGCACTGTGCTGGCCTGCAAAGCAGTGACCTGCTCTGGGTCACAAAACACACTGGCTAGAATGGAATGTTTCATAGCCAGCTGTTCCAGACTGCCTTTCTCCCTGCTGTGTTGGCTGCACAAGCTGAACTCTGAGCACAGAAAAGGGAACTGTTCTGGCAGAACCCTGAACCTGACACTGGGAGGTTTGTGTCAAATGTATCACTGTCCATGGCATGAAAGATACTGCAAACTGAGGATGAACTTTCCACTCATAAGAAAAAATCTAGCATTATATTATCCATACTTCCCAACTACTCCTATCAGCCTATACCTCTGCCCCCTGTGACCCTTCTCTATTTTCAGTGAACTCTTAGGCAGCCTTAGAATGAATCTTGTAGGATCATATTTACAGGAAAATGGACATGTACTAAATGAACCAGCCTAACCTTCTGGAACTACAGGACAAGGTCTTCTTTGTGGATAAAAAAGCTGAGGTTGCAAGAAGAAAGAAGAAGCAGAAAAGTTGCTGACAGACAAAGGGGTGTAAATCCGAGTAAAATAACACTTATAGCATCTACCAATTAGATTAAGAAAGAGATGCATGCTTGTCTCATGGACAAAGTAAAGGTACCAATCAAGAGATGCATGGACAAAGCAGAGCTACCAATCAAACAATGCATGACAGTGTAGACCAAGATAAGAAGTAAATATAAAAAATGTTTAGAAGCACAATGAACAGTTTTTGCTTGATTCACATTGAATCATGCAGAGTCCTTTGTTTTCTCTCCTCAGGATCTGACCATAATCTTATTTTTCCCGGAGAATTCAAACATTCATAATGACAGCAAGATATAATGCATTCATAGTGACATCATAGAAGTGTTTAGGTTGGAAAAGACCTTTAAGATCATTGAGTCCAGACATGAACCTGAGCACCACGCCTTTGTGTCCTTTAAAGATCTTCAGTGTTGGTAACTCTACCACTTCCCTGAACAGCCTCTTCCAACGCTTGAACACTCTTCAGGTGAAGAAACTTTTTGTATTATGCAATCTGAACCTTCCCTGGCACAACTTGTGGCTATTTCATCTTGTCTTATCACTTGTTACTTGGGGAAAAAGAGATCAATCTCCACCTGTCTACAACCTCATTTCAGGGACTTGTAGAGCAATAGGGTCAATCCCAAGCCTCCATTTCTTTAGACTAAATACCCCCAGCTCCCTCAGCTACTCCTAATAGGACTTGTGCTCCAGAATACTCCAAGCTCCATTGCCCTTCTCTGGACACACTCCAGCACCTCAGTGTCTTTTTTGCAGTGAGGGGCCCAGAGCAGGACACAGCATTCGAGGTGTGGCCTCAGCAGTGCTGAATACAGGAGGACAATCACTGCCCTGGTCCTGCTGGCTGATCCAGCTGATCCAGGCCAGGATGCCACTGCCCTTCTTGGCCACCTGGGCACAGCTGGCTCGTGTTCAGCTGCTGTTGGCCAGCACTCCCAGGTCCTTTTCCACCAGGCAGCTTTCCACCCACTCTGCCCAAGTCTGTAGCGTTGCATGGGGTTGAACTTTTGCACCTGGCCTTGTTGAAACTCAGTTTTCCTTAGTTCCTCGATCCAGCCTATCCAGATCTCTGCAGAACCTTCCTACCCTCCTGGAGGCCAGCATTCCCACTCAACTTGTCATCTGCAAACTGATTTCATCTAGATCGTTGATAAAGATACTGACCCGGGCTGGCCCCAGCACTGAGCCCTGGAGAACATCACTGGTCACTGGCTGCCAGCTATATTTAATTCCATTCACCACCACTCTGGGCTTGGGTAACCAGCCAGTTTTTCACCCAGCAAAGAGTACACCAGGTCAACTCATGACTATCCAGTTTCTTCAGGAGAATGTTGTGATGGGGAATCAGATAAGACAAGCAGGACTCGCCTTATGCCCTTGCTGACTGAGCCTGATCTTCTGGTTGTCCTGTACTTGCTACAGGATAGCACTCAAGATGATCTGCTCTATGACCCTCCCTAGCAACATAGTCAGGCTGACAGGCCTAGTCCCATTGCTATAATTTTTTTGTGTATCTTTTAGAGCAGTAGCCAGATTAAGCTGCAAATGGGCTTTGGCCCTCCTAATTTTCTTGCTGCTTAACCTCCTGTTTGCTCATGTTGTGTGCATTGGTGTAGTGGCACTTCAGTTGAGCTGCTGATTCCACCACTTCCTTGGGGAGAGATCCTACATGACCATTCTCAGGTGCTTCCATGGTTTCTAAAACATCACTGACCTTTGTGTCTTTTATTTGCTATATAGATCTCCATCCCCTGCCTTCAGTGGCAGATAGAAGGAACTCGCTAGCACATAGTCACTCAAAAAACTGGTGGGCTACCTTCAAGTTTGCCTCTAGTGAGCCTGGTTTTACCATTTTCCCCATTTTATTTTAAAGTTGTTTTGATAAGCCGTGCCAATTTCTGTGCAAAGACCCTTTTCTTCCTTTGAGACAGGTGTACCTGATCCATTGCCAGAAGATCCAGTGTTAAGTAGACCAAATCATAATCAAAATCCCTAAATTCTGCAGGTGATACCAGGCTTGAAGCCAGGTATTGGTCTACTGGATTATACCGTTCCTTCCCTGCAACAGGATGAATAGAGGAGAGCAACAATTGTGCTCCTGATCCCTTAACAGTCATCCCAAGACCCTGGAGTCTCTTAATTGCCCTTGAACTTCTTGTTGCAACTTCACCACTGCCTACCTGAAAAAACAGAAAATGGATAATAACCAGAGGGTTGTGCCACAAGATGACACTTTCACTTTACATCTTTAACCCAGGCCCAAGGAAGGATGCAGACTTCCTGAAGAAGCCTGCTTGGTCTGCATATGGGGCTTTCTGTTCCCTTTGGAAAGGATCTTCTATGACATCAGTCTGTCTTTTTTCTCTTTATGGAAGTAATTTTGACACAGGGCTGAACTAACTTAAGTGACACCTCCAAGCCAGATGGACCATCCTCCTCATTATTGTTCCATTCCAGTTGCAGGGCCTCCCACCTCATGTGCCAGGTCACCTGGGGCACTGGGGCAGTCACAGGTGAGATGTGCAGAAGCCTATTGACATTCCTCCACCCTTAAGTCACTGTGCTCTGCCAGGCAGAGAGAGAACTAGGAATCCCCTGAGCCATGCAGGGCCTGTTTTGGGATGCAATTCCAGCAGTTTGTCTTTCTCACACCCCTGGATATCCTCATTCCCGGAGCTCTGGCTCTGTACATTCCTCTGTAAATTCCTGCAGTGTCTCTCACACCCCCAGATATCCCCATTCCCAAAGCACTAGCCCCTGTACCAGGGGATGCCCACCGCTGCTCTCAGGTGCTGATGCAGAGCAGGGCACCGCTATAAAGTCACCCTAAGCTTCAAACAGCCCAGTAGACTCCCAAATTTAACACCTCTATTGAGCTATAAATGGTGTTTGTTTAGATGATGTTCATCTATAATTATCTTCTTCCAAGAAAAAATAACCATGTGGTTTGGTTTACCAAATGCTTAGTTAAATGTTTCCATTTAAGTGAAACATGCCAAATTCATTTCTAACTGTAAATAGAAAGAAACATCCCTAGAGAAAAAGGAAGCGCTTTACTATGTACTTCTTGGAAAGTATAGCCAAACATGCTGTGATAATTATGATCAGGAGTTTTTTTCCACAGTATAAGACTCTCTTAAAGGTAAATTGCCTAAAAATATCTTTGTACAGAAGGAATTGCAAGACAGTGGTTGTGCACAGGAAGAAGAATTTCCTATTAAACCTATACAGATATAATTTTGCAGGTTGTGACGATACAATCTTTGACAAGTTTCTGTTCCCCACATCTTTCCCTCTTTTCCAACCTATATGAATCTGTGATTCTATGACTAGGTAAAAAGTGTTATTTTTAACAAGACTCACCAGTGCATATACTTACTTTTGTTTACTACTGACTAAAATCTCTCTGTTACACTGCTGTCATCTACAGAAACTCTGTCACTGTTTTCAGTAAGATTCCACTGACTGCAAATTTTCTGTTCTCTGCCTGCATTTAATGTTCTTTCAACTGTATACACTAAGAAGTAAATAACTTTTCTCCCAGATTTCTGCCTCTGTCCTTGCTATATTAACCAGGCTCAGAGCACTAGCTGTGTTTTCTCCTCATTTTTGATGAATGAATTATTTAGCAAACAATGACAAATTTTCACTGGCTAGCACCAGTTTTCTATTTGCTATTTCTCTGACACAGCAGAAACAGAGAAACAGGTGCCAAGTGCGAGGTTAAATACAGTACTTAAACTGTCTTTCATAAGAAACCTTATTAAACAGTTTTTAAAAGCATTTAATAATTTGAAGTTAAGCTTCAAGAGCTCTTTCTAATGAAGAAAAAAAGAAAAAAAGAGGATGTCAAAAGTTGTGAAATACTCACAAGTCTTGGAGTGCTGAGCAGCAAGTCGACACGACACACAAGTTAGGATAAGGTTAGCATAAGTGACAGCAGCAAATGCTCCACCCCCTCCTCCATTCTGTTTTACTTTCAGTTGTTATATAAATAAATTTGTACCTAATAAGGTGGAAATTATTCTCGTGACAAAGAGCAGATCGTAGGGATTTCCTGCTGCCATTTCCTAGCAACTTTCAAACTTGGTGAAAAAAAGCCTAAACGAAACAACAACAAAAAAATGTAAGCAGAAATGCATATGCCTTCAATTTAGAAGGCAGGCAAGTGAGTGCCAAACGTGAAAGGCAGCGGACAGATTGCTATCTGAAGCATAGACCTTCCTGGATATTCCAGTTTAGCATTCCCTAAAGGAAAGAGGGCTCGTGGTTTGTGCCCTTGTTGGTGCACCTCGTAGCTGAAGTGTAACCTCCCGACCAGGGCTCAGCAGAGTTGCCTACCTTGGAAGCAGACACTGCAGCTGTGTGCTGTGACTCCTCCTCTTTCCAACGAGAACAGTGTTTTTTGCTGGCGCAGCTGCCTTAGGAGGGAAAATGAAGCGGCCTTTCAGGACAGCACCAAGAAGCCATGGAAGAAGGTTATGAGGATAGAGCAGAGCTTCTCCAAAAGGCTTCTCCATCTGGCTTGCTGTGGAACAACAGGGAAGGGAGGTGGTATAGGCCAGCGAAGAGTATTCTTGTAATGGAGCTGAAAAGAATAATCTGCAAATTGCATTGAGATCCAAAATTGTGGATTTTTAGCTGTAAAGAAAAGTGGAGGTTTAGTTTCTATAATAATCACCAAGAATGGCAGCTGTACACCTAAAGTCCTGCCTAGACACCTCATCATAAAAAAAAACTTTTGTTCTTTGAGATAAACTTGAATGTCTTGAAGATGAGGCTTAGTAGCTCTCCAGGAGTACAGTCAGGTTTCCAGGAACCATTAATTACCTATGCAAGGTTTCTGCATTCAAGAGGCAACAGTGAAAACAGTTCTTGATCTCTGTGCAATCTTTTTTATATCCTCAGCTATGCTGTTCTGGGTGCTAGTTGTTATTCATGTTATATGCATGTCACACTAAGAGGTGGTAAAAATATTCTGCAGCTAAATGACAGGGTTTTAGAACTCTGACTCCTTACTAAAGAAGAGATGAGTTTCTGGAGCTGGGCATTTCCTTCTTGTTTCTCAGTGAAATCATGTTTTTTTCAGGAGAACTACTTATAAAACAATATCAGTTAGTTCTGTGCTGGCATATTCTATTACAGAAAGATTCAAAAAATATATTTATGAACATAAATATGACTTCTGTGTCTTCACCAGCTGTTGTACAAGTGAGAGAAACAGGACCTGAGACTGAATGTTTCCAGAGAGTAGTTACAGGTGGCTACATAAAAAATGCATTGTGTGGGACAGCTGGCTGCCATTTCTTAGCACCCTGGTGTCCTGTGGTCCAACATTTGGGTCCAACATCCATTCTGCAGAGAAGGCACTGGAATGAAATACCCCCACATTAATTACCTCCTGCATGGGTTCAGACTCGTCATAACTACTACTGCAAAGAACTTAAAAAAAAAAATTGCAGAACTCACAATTTTGTGCTTGTCAGGGATTCTTGGCTCTCTCACATGATACCTTATCTGTGCCTCCAGAAAAGCAGCTACTTGTGTTCCTAGTACTTTGCCTCAATGCAGGCTGTGAATGTCACTTTTTAAGCTGGTGAACAGACATGAGAGATGAAATCTGCTTCACCTGGCAGCTGTTAGAAACCAGAGCAGGTTTTGAAAGTAAAAATAAAAGTACAGACTTTCTACAGCTAGTGACAGATTATGAAAACAAGTACCAGCATTGCAAGAAAAACATCAGCTTGGATAAATATTTAATCCAAAGGAACATATCCATTTATTAACTGTCTTGTGATAAGAGCACGTATTTTCAGACAAGAGTGGTCATGAATACCTGTTTTTTCAGCTCACTCCAGCTTGAAGAGTGAGAGTAAATTATACCAAGTGTACATGTGATTACATGTATGTACTTGGACTCCAAGGTGTCTCATATTTTCCACTGTTTAAATCTGAAAGAAAATGGGGTGTTTTCCATTTTTTCTCTTTAATGTGATAATTTTGCTATGCTAACTTGGGCAGAATTTTCTAAACTAGGAGCAATTTATAAGCAAACAGACAAAAACAAGCACACAAAGATTGAGGTATTAACTAATTATGTGAGAACAGGGAAAGAATAACTTGCTTTCCCAAAAATTTCCTTTGAACACAGCAAAATGGAATCATTGCATATAGAGTGGGTTTTTTTAACTGTCTCTCTGGGTTTGTTCTTTCTTTAAGCACTGCATTTTGCTGGCATTGCTGAAGTTTAGAATATATTTCTAGCTTAATATAAAAACTATTCCTAAAAATTACATTAGTTTTATATAAAAGTAATGCAAGTGTTAGTATATATTATATTACAGTAGGGTGTCAATACCACCAGCACTCCCTCAAAATTTAACTCTCGTTCATTCTCTTAATTACACAAAAATGTGCTCCCTATTACTCAGTAGATATTTTATAAACATCTACTTGCTACTAGCCATATTAAGGTGTTCATTTATAGCATAAATTATTCTCAGATTATCAAAAGCAAAATACGTCTTTCAATTTATGCAAGTTTAATTGGACACAGGCTGTTTGGCAATATACAGGCAATTATTCTCATTAAGAAGTAACTAAAGTGTAACTTAGTGGTTTAAGTGCAGTGACAAAGAATGTGAATGCAAACAGTAAAATAAAAACATATCCATGACTGTCATTTTGGAAATAAAGCAGGAAAACTGAAAACTCACACATGACCATCCTGGTTTGAAGCAACATTGCCCAAAAATTTTGTGCAACTGCGTGACTCTCACCAACAAGTTTGTGGTTTCTCTCTTCCTAAAAGTCTGCCTATATTCTCATGGAATTCCTCTGGAAGTGGTGTTAATTCTTTTGCTGAACACCAGGAGAGGAAGTCTTGCAAAGGGAGCAGGAGTGAAGAAATGGGAGGGAAGAAGGCTTTTCCAGATCAGTCTATGTGATCGGATGGGTATACAAAAACCAGTAGTTCTACCAAAACAGATCCCTGTAGGATGGCTCCAGCTGACTCAGCCTAAATCCAACTTCCATTGCTAAATTTCTGAATGCTTAAAGAAGGGAATGCACTACACTCCTCTCACCTACTGTCTTATTATCAGTCATTTTAATAAAAGGTCTTGAAATTAAGACCTTCACTGGTGAGTTATCTGCTCTGATAAGACATAATGCTCCATAATAATTTAATTTTCTTTAAATGAATTCCAAAACTTTTAGCAAACCTGAACCCAAGTATACAGGCACATGCAGAAGATACTAATTGCAATTTAAAACATATCTCTTCCAAAGTACTTTTTTTTTTCTTATAATATTCATGCTGTCTTTGAATTTTTGCTCCAGGGCTGAACCACTCACTACACCATCAATTATCAACCCTATGAATTTCTGCATAGTAAAATGAAGGAACTGTTTTCTTCCTCTAGGTGACAATGTGGATATAAAGAGCTGATAAAGATGTACAATTTTGGCTCCCTCCACCTTTGCCAGTGTGGCAGCCAGAGGAGGAAGTTCCAGGGGAAACAGCTTTCTGCCTCTGAAAAGTCACATCCCAGTCATCCCAGCAGCCTTCACCATTGCTCCATGGTGGTTTAGCAAAGGTGAGCCTTGATTCTAGTGATAGAGGCCAGGAGCAGAGTGCCTTACTGCTGAGAAGGACAGGACAGAGGGGAGCTTGTGTGATGAGGGACTTACATCAATCTGTCTTTCAGGTAAGGTAGGAAGGTGAATTGCTGGAAATTAATTTCTAGGCACATCTGGAGAGAAATTGTTATTACACCTTTCAGAAGCATGCACAATATTTCTGGCATGTTATAATTTATCAACTATCGCCACTAAGAATGAGCTATTCCTATTTAAAGAGACAGTGTTTCCAAGCAAAACCAGATCAGATGCTAAGTCAGCAAAACAAAGGGAAAGGCATTTAATGCATAAAATGTGTAGAAATGTGTTTCTGAATCTGTAAAAAAAGTTAACACAGAGAAATGTGCAACTTTTAGTTGGAGTTCTGTTAGGAGCATATAATCTTAAGCGCCCAGTGAGCTTGTACCTTGTAGTACTTATAAGTCACATAAAATAAATATAAATATGTCACATATTTAGACAAAATATTTGCAATATTTCAGCCTACAAGTTTTCCTAAGAAAGTTGCTCTTCAAAATGCATGATAGGAAAATTCTGCATATAAATAAATTATAAAAATATTTATTAAAGTTCACCATAAATTAAAAAATAGCTGGCTAATATCCCTTCACTATAGATGTTCTCTCAAATTATACTTTTGTTATTTCTCTCTGTGTTAATCAGACTTGAGTGGAGCAGCCAGACCACAAAGGTCTTGCAGTTCACACTCTCTGATGCAGGGAACTACATGCCAAATCCACAAAAACGTTGATGACTCTAATACTTACATTCCAAGATAGTTCCTACGGATACAGAAGTTAAGTGCTTCTTTGAAATTAGGTGCTGTGTTACTTGACCTCAGCTGACTGGACACCTTCTGCACTGGCTAGCTGGAGCTCACAGCAGTGCCTTGGGGAAGTAGACACATTTCCCTGTTAGGTTGCTCATGCTGAACAGAGCAATGCCTAAATTAGCCGAGTAGCAGGGCTGGCAAGAGTCTTTGAGGATTTAAATGCCCTTGGCTGCACTGGTACTGCCTCCAACCAGGATCTGTAGCTCAAAATCCTCCCCTGAAAGTAGCACCTTTATGCAGTAAAAAGCACAACATTCAAAATATATGTCAGTCAATATTTTTTTTCTAGTCAAGTATTTTCTAAGTGTTTCTCAACTGAAATTCCAGAACAGTAAGTTGAAAGACCAGAATTTTACATTATAATAATCAAACTGAGTCTCTTGGGAGAGGGAGGTGGATTCCTTTTCTCTCAGCTAACAAATTGCTAAAACATTTAGCTAAAATCTCACAGTCTCAGTCCATGTAGACACCCACTCTGAGGTTAGCAGACTGCTTTGTGGCTC